TGCTAGTCTATGCATTCATCAGTATTGGGAAGTACATTATAAAAGCACGTGCTTGTTAAAATTTGAGAAAGATAAATAAGTTCAAATAAAACACATTGAAAGTAATTTCGGTTTTACACGAGATGAAGTTTATCTCCTCTAGTCATCAGCTGGAGTCAATTTCATCCTTGAAAAACTATAATAGTCTCGTGGAAATTTTACGAAAATTTACGTTTGGGGTTGTTTTGATTGGGTTAATTTTCATCTGTATCTCCATCAGTCATCATGTCAGGTCCTAGTGTGTCGTCTTACACCTGAAACACGATATCAACAACCGGGCGAGAACAGGTGAGAATAGCTCTAAATGAGATTTTGAATGAACGTGTTTATCATGAAATCTGTCAAGGTGTGTGTAAAACGCTCTTATCAAAACAGAGTAATACAATATTGTGCTGATAAAATCTTCGAAAATTAAGAAAATTCGATAAAATCTGGCCTGGCATTCCAAACAAACTGCGGCGTGGCCGGTAACAATGGTCACTTGCTAATCATGGTCAAGGGGCGTATTTTGATTGATTAGTTTGACCGTTTATAACCAGTTATTAATGCCAACGTTTTCAATAACTGGCCCGTTTTAATAAACTGACGATAACCCAAGGTTGTTTGTGAGATATAATACGTAAAATTCATATCTGTATGTAGCATATTAAATCACACCATTGGATGGTATACTATGTACTTGGCTAATTGCACGAGTGACATTTTTTGTGCAATAACTACCCTCTGCTCACCTTTGGTAAAAATGAAATATTTCTTTCCCTTCTTTCGTGTGTAGTTCTCTGTTCTTCTTTACATTCCACATTCAATAGAATATATATGATTTTCTATATCTTACCGTTGGTTACAAAGCTTAACACACAATTATTTATGTATGTGCCTGTTCAGTGAAACCATACACAATTATTACGTGCGACTTACTTAGGTTTTCGATCTAAAGAAAAGAATGCATGTACTGCTCGTAAAACGCCGAAATATTCAAATGTAAGACAGTTTTAAATTCTTCCACTTTGTGTTTTAAGAATATGACATTCTTTGATGGAGAGGAACTACATAACTTCTCCGGGTAGAACGTTATTAAGCGGGCCAAGGGGGTGGGACGGATGGACGGGGTAGGTGGGCGTTACTTTCGATTTGTAAACTCATTTGAATGGACTGGACTATTCAGGATCAGATTAAAATTTCTATAGAACATCAGATGGAAATTCATCTTTCTTAATTTGAAATCAATTTGTGTGTCTGACCATATTGTTTTTATTATCTTTCAAAATCCGATACAGTTCTTTTTTAATTTGAACAAAAAGTAAAATCTGATGGTAAAGATTTGAATTATTTGCATTTCTTGAGATTATGGACACATTTTGCATGCAAATTCTACTAGTTTTGTTTTGTATGAATAGGAATGTTATTAAAGTAAATTCAATAATATATTTAATAAGCTACAGAAATTATTATATTTCATTATTTTTCAGAGCCAGAGAATGTCATGAAAATCGGGACCAGAGTCTCAATATGCAACGCATTACGGAATGTAACCGCAATAAATACACCTAATCTCCTCTTGGTTAACGCAGACAAGCCTTTATACTACCACATATATATGTATGTAGAGCTAATTGATTACTGGTGTTAGTATCACTAAACGGAGCATAAGTATCTCTCCCGGTTATTACAATGTATACAAACAAATCCCCCTTAAACTAAACTACACTGGTCACTGTGTAGGATCATAGTGAAGAAGGCGTCCATGGGAGTAAACTTGTAGATCAGTCATTTTACAGCGTGCCATGTTCTTCACCGTGAACTAGGCCTAATCAATGCACAGCGTATATTATCGCATTACATGAAATAGTCTCTACACAGCTTACCATTCTCCACTCTAATATAGTCAATGTACAGTGTACCATGTCATACTCCGTGAACTAGTCAATATCCAGCGTACCATATCCTACTCCGTGAACTGGTCAATATACAGCGTACCGTATCCTACTCCGTGAACTAGTCAATATACAGCGTACTGTATCCTACTCCGTAAACTAGTCAATATACAGCGTACCGTATCCTCCTCCGTGAACTAGTCAATGTACAGTGTACCATATCCTACTCCGTGAACTAGTCACTATACAGCATACAATGTACTACTCCGTAAACTGGACAATATACAGCGTACCATATCCTACTCTGTGAACTGGTCAATATACAGCGTACCGTATCCTACTCCGTGAACTAGTCAATATACAGTACCATATCCTACTACATGAACTAGTCAATATACAGCATACAATGTACTACTCCGTAAACTGGTCAATATACAGCTTATCATGTCCTTTTCCGTGAACTGTTCAATATACACATACAATGTGCCGTATCATACTCTGTGAAGCAGTCAATATACAGTGTACCATATCCTACACCGTGAACTAGTCAATGTACAGCGTACCATATCATACTCCGTGAACTAGTCAATATACAGCGTAACGTATCCTCCACCGTGAACTAGTCAATGTACAGTGTACCATATCCTACTCTGTGAACTGTTCAATATACACATACAATGTGCCGTATCATACTCCGTGAAGTAGTCAATATACAGCGTACTGTATCCTACTCCGTGAACTAGTCAATATACAGCGTACCATGTCAAACTCCGTGAACTGGTCAATATACAGCGTACATATACCATATCCTACTCCGTGAACTGATCAATATACAGCGTACTGTATCCTACTCCGTGAACTGGTCAATATACAGCGTACCGTATCCTCCACCGTGAACTGATCAATATCCAGCGTACCATGTCATACTCCGTGAACTGGTCAATATACAGCGTACATATACCATATCCTACTCCGTGAACTGATCAATATACAGCGTACCATGTCATACTCCGTGAACTGGTCAATATACAGCTTACCATGTTCTACTCAGTGAACTTGTCTATGTACAGCGTACAGCATTCTACTTTGTGAACTGGTCAATGTGTTCAGCGTACCGTATCCTAATCCGTAAACTGGTCAATATACAGCTTATCATGTCCTCATCCGTGAACTGTTCAATATACACATACAATGTGCCGTATCATACTCTGTGAAGCAGTCAATATACAGCGTACCCTATCCTGCTCCGTGAACCCGTCATTATACAGCGTACCATGTTATACTCAGTGAACTAGTCAATATACAGCGTACCATATCCTACTCCGTGAACTGGTCAATATACAGCTTACCATATCCTACTCCGTGAACTGGTCTATGTACAGCGTACAGCATCATACTTTGTGAACTGGTCAATGTGTTCAGCGTACCATATCATACTCCGTTAACTGGTCAATATACAGCGTACCATATCATACTCCGTGATCTGGTCAATATACAGCGTACCGTATCCTACTCTGTGAACTGGTCAATATACTGCTTACCATGTCCTACGCCGTGAACTGGTCAATATAGAGCGTACCATGTTCTTCTCCGTGAACTTGGTAATATACAGCATACCGTATATTTAATCATGAACTAATCGCTGTGCCACAAGAATTGGTCAGTGTGTTCAGCGACCTGTATACTCTGTGAGTTACTCAATATATAATGTATCGTAGCCTGCTCCATTTACTAACAATATACATTATACCGTATAAAACTACATGATCACATTCCTTCCTTGAACTTATTTCAGTTGGTATTCATAGGTTATATGAATGCCAGCATGCCAACTGAAAGCAGTTCAATACTAATATTTCGAATCTTTAGAGTCATAGCATATCTGAAGGCCATTTACATTTGGAAGCAGCGCAACATATCATACTCCGTGAATTATTCAATGTACAGCGTACCGTATCCTACTCCGTGAACTAGTCAATGTACAGTGTACCGTATCATACTCCGTGAAGCAGTCAATATACAGCGTACCGTATCCTACTCCGTGAACTAGTCAATGTACAGTGTACCATATCATACTCAGTGAAGCAGTCAATATACAGCGTACCATATCCTACTCCGTGAACTAGTCACTATACAGCGTACCATATCCTACTCCGTGAACTGGTGCATGAACTATTTCCTTCTTCATTAGCTGGTCAATATACAGGGTACTAGTTTTTACTTCGTGAACTAGTCAATATACAGCGTACCGTATCCTACTCCGTGAAGTAGTACTATACATCGTACCGTAGCTTACTCCATGAACTGGTGCATGAACTATTTCCTTCTTCATTAACAGGTCAATATACAGGGTACTAGTTTTTACTTCGTGAACTAGTCAATATACAGCGTACCGTATCCTACTCCGTGAACTAGTCAATATACAACGTACCATATCCTACTCCGGGAACTAGTCACTATACATCGTACCGTAGATAACTCCATGAACTGGTGCATGAACCATTTCCTTCTTCATTAACTGGTCAATATACAGGGTACTAGTTTTTTTCTTCGTGAATTTGTCAATATACAGCGTACCTTTATACAACGTACTTTTACAGGGAACCATTTCTTACTCCGTGAACTGGTCAATAGACTGCGTGCCTCGTCACTTTCCTTGAAAAAGTCCCTATACAGCGTGCCATGTTCTACTAGTAGTCGGTATACATTGTACGACATAGACCTCAGCAATGTAAATAATAGTAAATACTTTTACATGTACGTCCATATGACGCGTCATTCTGATTAGAGATTAAAAACGTTCGTGGCGACATTAGATTGCTTACTCCAGAGAAAGCTTATGAACATCATGCCATTTGACATCATCTGCAATTTATATAACTGTAATATTATTTTTTCATTGCAGTTTTTACTGTATTAAGTACTCGTGTTTCCCTGGTACAAATGAAATTAACATGTTTACAAGTATTAGCGTCAGCATCCTTCTACCCAATAGACAGCGTACTGTATTCCGCCCCGTGATCGATTTCTGACGCGTTATGAATGATACCGACAGCCTTACGGTCTGGCTATGAGAACGTACGGCACTACTCAAGCATGCGTAGTCAATCTGTACAACCATACCGATAACAAGTGCACGCTGATTTAAAGTAAAGAAAAAACTTTTACCAGGTGGAATACGTAAAGAGAAAAACGGCTACGCCTGATCCGACAGTAATGGGATTAATTACTGGATATTTAACTTACGATACGCCGATTTTAACTTGAAAAGGATTAATATATTTCTACCTGGCGAAAAATTAAAACCAGGTGCGGATTTAGGTGTATTAAGTTAATATCTATTACAGTTTTTTGTTCTATGTTTGACCACAACTTGACCAGGGTCTGAACAGCGACATATACCTGGAGGGTAGACCCGTTGTACATTGCACATATGGTGGAAAACAGCGCTAATTGGATTCACAGGTACACCTGTTTGACGTCATTCTAGGTGAGAATCTATTTACGGCATTTACAAGTAAACCAATCTGTTCAGGCAGTTGAAGACACTTGACATAAATACATGTAATCATTGTACATAGTGGAATTGCAAGCGGAACTTGGAATTGTGTTTTTGAATTTTCTTCGCCTATGATGGATTAAAAAGAACGGGTGAGTGATTTTGACCTTGTAGAATTCTGAATGATCATGCCTTGCTTAAAATTCGGTCAAATCTTACATCTCTTATTCGTCATTGTATCTTAAAACAGATCTTAATATATCTAACTTAGACTACGCGATGTTCATGGCTAACTTAGATAATGAGTGTTATATAAGAATTATGTTATTTTCCCGATATTATAAACAATATTGTTTAATATGAACCTCGCGTCAATATCGCATAAAGAATCGTCCGTAACGGTCCGTTTAGGTTTGAATCTATCAGCTTTTACTGAATTCTTTTGCAGATTTTCACATGCAAGACTGCTAGTAATTAGAGATCCACAGCTTCACGATATGATCTAACGTTAACGGGTACACTTGTAAGATATGCGGTTAGTCTCTAACGCCACCCCGTTTATCATTGACACTAATTTGAGTTAGAAGTACTACAATAATACTGATGTTTTGAGTTAGTTTGATCTGATTTTTTTCTTTAGTTTTGTAATTTTGGAGGGAAAACAACAAACTAGCAAGCAATAACGAGAAATTTTGATAAATAATGTATTCGTATGGTCTTAATGAAATAAATTAAAAACATGACGATATTTTTGTGGAAATACAATAAGGTATAAAAATGAAAATGTTAAGGGAGGAGAGCGTCTTTTGTCGATGTTGTGTGCTACTGTTTATCGCGTGCTGCTGTCAATATACGTACATGTACATGTATTGTATTGCTTCTAAAACGATCTTGAATCTGGTTAACTCACGACTTTACTATGACACATGGCTGTATTAATCATATGAAATCTGAATCTATATACATTTGTACATATACAAAATTCAAGATTAAATATTTTTCATTAGAAAAACCAAATAGCAACATAAATATTCTCTATTACATACATTTAGACATTATCTCGGAGTATGCGTACCTTGTAAGGGATCTGTCAGTAAACGAAAACGATAGTACCACTTGATATAACATGTGTAATATCGAATGGAGTTGACCTATAAAAAGATGCATTGTATACGTTAAGCTTGTACTGGTTGATGCTTTAGGGGAGCGGGTAGGAGTACAGGGGTCGGAGTCGGGTGCTCGGGGAATGGAATTAAAGGGTCACATTCTCCGTGTTGGTAACATGAATCATTATGATTTGCATAACTAGGTGTTGAATCATGCAATCGATATACAGGTTCGAACAAACGATACTGAACTTTTCCTCGAAGGTGACACCATGGTGTTAGGTAGAAATCACAAGTCATATATACTTACAACAGTGTTTACATGTTAGTGTACACGACTCGGTCGTAGTAAGCTTCACAAAGCTTGAGAAGTAAATCAGTTATTTAAAATTAAATCTGAAAATTAAACACATGTCCTAGGATTCCTATGACCACCCTCATATACATCATAGTAATAAAAAATGCTCAATCTTTTACAATATTAAAAAAAAAAAAAAAGACTATTCAAAATAAATATCGCATTAGCTGACGACGTTTTAAACAAATGGCTCCCGAACTTCAACATCACAAAAAGGTAAATTGTCATCTAGATTCCTAAGGTATGGCATTGGAATTGGAATGAAGTCAGATAAAACAATACATGTATACGTCCTACGTACGACTTTTCCCGATTGTCGATTGTTTGAAAATATTTGAAAAACTGATATGTGAAGCTACAAAGTTGGAATCTGGAAATCTGACGAATATTAAGGTACAGCATGACGTATGGTGATTAGTGATAGCGATTACACGGTTCTACAATTTCATCGATAAATCCAGGTTTTTGTTATATAGAAGAATTTCGAACCGCCAACTCTTGGTATTATGTTGACCTGGCCATATTGATGTATATCTTAACAATGGTATGCTGTCAACAGTAACTTGAACCGCAGGTGTACTCATAGCGTATGAACAACATTGCTACCACGGAGATCAAACTGTTAATACATAGGTGTAAATGGACTATGTGTTAAACCTCCACATATGTTATGTGTTACAATACTGAACTTAGTGAAGGTGTTCGTGATGGATTACATACCACATGGGACCTACAACATAAACAACCATTTTATAACAACTTTGAAACTTTTAGCTTCCGTACAACTTTTAACTTGTAAAAGCAAGATAATTGTATCCATACACTGTAAGAGGAAGGCGTCAAGCGTAACTGTTTAAGTAACACCTAACGGAATTCACGGTAAATAATCGATTGAGCGTTTCCGGTTAATAAGTGGA